GGCGCCAAGCTGTCAGCACAGAGCCTGACGTGGGGCTTGAACTCACGAACCGTGAGATCATGACCTGAACCAAAGTTGGACGCTTACTGGACTGAACCACCCAGGTGCCCCTGGAAAGTGACTTTTAACAACTGGATACTTAATGGCCATCTGGTATCCTTTCATATGTCATAACCTTATTTATTAACAAGTAACCTAATATTGAACATTCAGGTTTTTTGATTTCATAAATATTCTGTGACGAACAGATTTAAAACCTTAATACATGTCTTTCTTTTCTATGAATAATTTCCCAGAAGTAGAATTTATAGGTCGAAGAAAGTATTTGAATAGTTGTAGCTATTTTTAAGGCTTTTGATACACGTTGTGTATTGCCCTCCAGATTGTCTTCCTTAGTGAGTGATTTAGTCCTGCCTTCCTTCTGCTCTCACTCTTCAGGGATCAGTCCCCAGGTCTTGTAAGCTTTCCCTGCCCTAGGGAGGTACTCCCCTCATCCCCTGGGGTCTTGTCACCAGCCAGCTCTCCCTCCAGACCCCCCACCCTGCAGGTCTTGCTTCCTGCCCGCGCTTATTCAACAGATGCCTCTCTCGTTTCAGTGACCTACCTGGATATGTTGGTTTGCAATCTGATGGTTTTAATTTTATTTTTATAGATTCTCTTAATTCAAGAGAAGATTGTTTACATTCTCTTTTTTGTAGGTAGATGGATCTCTGAAGTAGCCACATTATGTTTGAAAGTGCATAATTTTAAGCAGTGCAAGGGACCAGTCAGATTTATCTGAAAGTAATATGAAATTGATAAGTATAAATTTCTTTGACTTACTGAGGTAATGTATCATCACCTTTTAGTACACCTTTTCTTATCTTCCTTACATTAAGTATACAATTTACTGAAGCTAGCTGGTAAAAACATACTTTAAAAGATTAGAGATGCTTTTGTGGAATTTTGAGTCCATGCTTGTTTTACAGAGTTCACTAATTACAGTTAATTTACTACGATCTATTAATGAATGTCGTGGAATTTTCTGTTTCATAGGACAGTGAGCACAGAAATCGGGGTGCAGGTTCAAGGAGAGATCCGACCAGCAGCCAGGAAGGATCATGCGCTCTCTGGTGACTATTATGCGCGCTGTGCTTCTTGAAGAATGCTTTAAAATGATTTTTTCTTACCGGTCCTGATTACAGCCAGTAAATGAAAGTGAAGTATGGGTATACTCATGTACTCCTGATACAGCCCCTCCAAATTATATCCTAGGTGCCCTGAAGGAGCTAGGAAGCTTGTTACAAATTATTAGTCTTGTTTTGCTTTTTTAACATCTGCTCATACGAACTTGGAAAGTTAGCGCTGACTTTGGAGTGCGAGCGTGTGTGTGTGGGGGAGCCTCTGCCCTGTGGCACAGCCGGAGAGGGCGGGGCCGCTGCAGACGGGCTCCTGGCACCCTTCCCTGCCAGCAGGTGCCCCCTGGCCAGTGTGTGTAAGTCAGAGCACAAACCAAATATGACTTCTTTGGCTTTGTAGCCTTGGTGAGGGCCAGGGTGCAGGCACCAACCTGCTGGAGTGGCAGGCCTGCCCCCTCTTGGGACGTTGGGTAGTCCTCCAGAACCTTTTCTCCGCTGGTGAGGGTCTCAGGAGGGTACCTATTTTGTGTGGGTGTTGTGAAGGTTACGGATTAGAGTTTGTGTGTAAAGTCTCGTTTTTGTAAGCTCTAGAGTTTTTATAAGTTTTTATTTAAATTCCAGCTTAACATGCAGTGTTATATTTTATGTTAAATTCCAGTTAACATATAGCGTTATATTAGATTCGGTGTAGAACACAGTGACTCAACACTTCTGTACATCACCCGGTGCTCATCACAAGTGCATCCTCGTCCCCAACACCTGTTCCCCCATCCTCCCACCCACCTTCCCTCTGGTGACCAGCAGTGCGTTCTCTGCTTTGTCTCCGTTTCCTGGTTTGTCTCTCTCTCTTTAGGAGAAAAGAATTTGTTTCTTAAATTGCACATGTGAGTGAAATCATGTGGTATTTGTTTTTCTCTGACTGACCTTGCTGACTCCCTAGCTCCATCCGTGTTGTTGCAGATGGCAAGATTTCATTCTTTTTTATGCCCAAGTAATATTCCTCTGTGTGTGTGTGTGTGTGTGTGTGTGTGTATCACATCTTCCTTATCCATTCATCACTCGGTGGACACTCGGGCTGTTTCCATATCTAGGCTATTGTAGATAATGATGCTATAAACATCAGGGTGCATGTATCCCTTTGAATTAGCATTTTTATATTCTTTGGGAAAAACCTAGTAGAGTCGTTGCTGGCCCTTACGGTACTTGTGTATTTAGCTTTCTGAGGAACCTGCACCCTGTTCTCCACAGTGGCTGCGCCAATTCTCGTTCCCGCCAAGAGCGCACGAGGGTTCCTTTTGCTCCACGTCCTGCCAACGCTTGTCATTTCTTGTGTTGTTGATGTGAGCCGTTCTGACAGGTGTGAGGTGATAGCTCATTGTAGTTTTGATTTGTATTTCCATGATAATCTGTGATGTTGAACATCTTGTCGTGTGTCCGTTGACCATCTGGGTCTTCTTTGGAGAAGTGCCCATTTTTTATTTGGATTATTCATTTTTCAGGTGTTGAGTTTTAGAAGTTCTCTATATATTTTGGATACTAACCCTTCATCCGCTATGTCATTTGCAAATATCTTCTCCCATTCCATGGGCGGCCTTTTTAGTTTTGTTGTTTCCTTCGCTGTGCAGAAGCTTTTTATTTTGATGAAGATTACAGATTAGAGTTTGTGTGTGTGCTCTTTTTGTATGTAAGCTCCAGATTTTAATTTGTTCTCTGTGACAACCATGTTTGGTAATTCTTTTTCACAGATCAGGGAAACTCAGGTTAAAAGTACTTTGCCTAAATTTTGAAGTTTGAGCAAACCTAGCAGTTAGTCCTGGGGGTGAAGGTTCCTAGACTTTGTATCGCAGACCTGCTGGGCTGCCTGGGGCTTCTGCTCAGTTCTCTGTTTCTTTAGACCACATGCTGTATTGAATTGGTGAGTCTAGGTTCTGAAAGTGAAGAATCCATTTAAAATTCTGAAAGCCTTAATTTTAGGTCCTAGCTAACATATAGCATGTGATTAAAAAATAGAACTTATTTCGAGTTAAATCTTTCTTTTGGGAATAAAGATATGTTAAACGTAAAGTAATGTTTTTGATTGACTAATAAGATTACAGGAGTTTTCTAGAACTCTCATAAGGATATAGAGTCATACATAGAACTTTGTTAAAACACATAGTTTTTTCCCTCTACTGAGGATATTTTCTTTCTAGGGTTGCTGCTAGAACAATGAAAATGTAAAAAGACCTTAGTATTCCTTGCTCTAATGAAGCAGGCTTTGGAAGTTTGCCAGTGTATAGCATTTCTTAGTCATATCAGATATTGCTAAGAGCCTTCATTGAAGTGTAAAATGTTTTAGGTTTCATGTCTTTGTTTAAAATTAATTTTGAATTTGGTCCTACTTTCTAGGTATGCAGAGAGTTTAGTAAGAAATAATGGAAAAGATAAAGACTCAAGAAAGAAGGTAAGACATTTATGTTTATTTTATTTTTAAGTTTATTTATTTTGAGAGCGAGAGAGTGTGAGCAGGGGAGGGGCAGAGAGAGAGAAGGAGAGAGACTCCCAAGCAGGTTCCGTGCTGTTAGCACGGAACCTGACATGGGGCTTGAACCCACAAACCGTGAGATGATGACCTGAGCTGAAATCAAGAGTCAGACGTTTAACCGACTGAGCCCCCCAGGGGCCCTTATGTTGATTTTCTTAGGCAGCAAGATTAGCCACGAGTGTCTGTTTGTGATTCCCCTTGATAGCAGAGCCTGAGACAGGCCTTGCCAGCAGGGGAGGTTTTCCTGAGTGCGTATTCCAGGAGGACATAGCAGACATATTTAGGTTAAAAGACTCAAACAGATGGAAAGTGGAAAACTGGACAAGATAAAGCATCAGACGGCAAGTGTGTCATTGCTCCAGTGCCTGCCCTAGTGTCAGACAGAAGTGACTCGGAGACAGATATCGAAGGACCTGCATGATGGTACAACAATTAGCTCACAGGAAGATGCCACAATTATAAGTGCACGTGCACCTAACAAAAGAGCCTTAAGATACAGAACTAAAGGGAGAAATAGAGAAGCTCTGCGGTAGCAGAGCCTTTGGCGCCCCTGGTCACTAGCAGATAGAGCAGCAGTGTTTCACGCAGTACATTAGGTCACTTACAGGAAGGGACAAGCTCCTGGAGACATAAATCACCGCGGCTGCCTCCGGAAGAGTCGGAAGTCAGGCGAGTGAGGGAATTGTGTCAGTATTAAAGTCTTCCCGCAGGGAAGCCTGGGCTCAGACCTCGCCTGCAAGCTCTGTCTGCAAGCTCTGTCCTACATTTGGCGTCAGCACCAGCACACCGCCCACGGCCCCGCCCTCCCGCCGCGGTCTCCGTGCTGGTGAGCGGTTCTCAGTCTTTGTGTTGCAGCCCCGCGTCATATTTCCCATCAGAGGAGTCTTCATGGAGATGATCGCTGCGAAGTGCCGGGCTCTGGGCTTTTAATTATCATCCAACCATTTTCTTAGTTTGTTGTTTTGTTATTATAGGTAATGTGGCAAGCAGATTTGGGTTATTATTTATGAAGAACAATTTTTTCTGTCACTTTCTTTGGTAGTTGTCTGAAACCCGTGACACTGAGATAATCATCTTTAACATTTGTGCCAAATTTTTATGTGTCGCTTTATTCCATGTACATACACGAAACACATGTACTTTTACATAAATTAGATCACACGGCATGTGTTGTTTTGATGTGGGTTTGTTTTATTCATTCAGTTTTGTGGGGCTGGTCGGAGCACTCACCACCTAAGGAAAAAAAGTTAGCCTTACAGAGACTGCTTCCCCTGTATTCTTTTCTCTGTGTAATCTTTTACAGCCGTGTATGAATGTTTATATTTGGTAACTGGGGGCACCTTTTTTCCTCCATGCACACACACCTCCACTCCCCTGCAACATCTTGTTTTTCCTAGTGCGTTGTGGAAACCGTTCAGTTCGAGGGGTGCAGACCTCCCTCACGCTTTTTGTGGGTAAATTCTTGAACTGGAGTTGTTGGATGATAATAATATAGATTTTTTTTAGTGTTTTCCTTCTATCTCCCACTTCTTTTCATGAGCTCTAGATTAGCACTGTTCATTAGAGTTATAACGTGAGCCACATTTGTAGTTATAAATTTTGTAGTAGTCACATTAAAGAAGCAAAAAAAATTCATTTCAATAATGTTATAATCAATATTTCTGAAATATCTTTTCAACATGTAATCAGTATAAAAAATTATCAGTGAGATATTTTATATTCTTTTTTTTTTTTTTTTGCCAGTGGAGCGAAATGTATGATTTTTTTTTTTTTCCTGAAAGATTCTTGAAGGTATTTGACAGCTTGTTTTGGCTTATGAATTGGGTCATATGTTTTGTAGCATCGATGCTGAGTGTATCTTCGTTGAATTCTTCAGCATTATGGAAAGCCTACAATATGCCAGAGTAATTTTCTGGACACACGGAGAAGTCCTTATTCTCTTCATGGTCATACACCATGCCGTTTCCAGTCTTATGCACTGAATAGTTGTGGGTAGTGATGTCTAGGACCTGTGCCTTCCTGGTGCTGTGACCACTACAGGATTGGAAGGCAGTTTCCTCACCGGTGCAGGGTCACTGGCACTGGGAAGTAGGTCCGGCGGTGCCCCCTTATCCGTGGTTCAGATACCCGTGGGGAGCAACGGGCCGGAAGCAGATGACTGTCTTCGGATGTATCATCAGATGTCAGTAGTAGCCCAATGCTGTGTCACACGCCTGCTTACCCCCCTCCTTTCGCCTCGTCACGTGGGCATTTCACCATCTCACATCATCACAGGGAGGGGCGAATGCAGGACAGTAGGTATTTTGAGAAAGACACCAGAGTCACATAACTTTTATTACAGGATATCATTATAATTGTTCTGTTTTGTTATTAGTTATTGTTGCTAATCTTTTACTGTGCCTAATTTATAAATTAAACTTAAATTAAATCATAGGTGTTGTATGTATAGGAAAAAATGTGGCATGTGTACGGTTTGGGACCATCCACGGTTTTAGGCATCTATTGGGGGTCTTGGAATGCATCCCTGTGGCTGGGGGGGGACCACAATTATTCCCATTTCTCAGAGGGGAAAACCGAGGCACAGGGTTACTTGCCCTCAGTGACCTTGTTTGTGCACCTCGGGGCCAGAACCCAGGTCTTCAGCCACTGAGGGCAGTGCCTTCATGGGGGACCAGGTGTATCAGTGGTTGGCCTGACCGGCTCTGCTATCTTCCACCAGAGCAGCCGAGAGGGCTCCGCGGTGGGGAAGCAGGCTCTGAGACCAGGACGTGCAGAAATTGCGGTAAGGAGAGTATGTCTTTTATATTTTGCCAAAGACATGCTTTTACTCATCATACTTTGCTTTCATAGTGCCTCTTTATTAGGGTAATCATTATTCCTTTTATTTATTTATTTAATATTTATTTTGAGAGAGAGACCTAGCATGAGCGGAGGAGGGGCAGAGAGAGACGGGTGACACAGAATCTGAAGCAGGCTTCAGGCTCCAAGCTATCAGCACACAGCCCGACGCGGAGCTCCAACCCACAAATCGTGAAATCGTGACCTGAGCTGACGTCGGACGTTTAACCGACTGAGCCACCCAGGCGCCCCATCATTATTCCTTTTAGACAGCAGAACATTGGTATGAAGGGAAGGAATAGATTTTAATGACATTCAATTTGCATCTGAGAGTCCTGGGTGGTGCCAAAGGCATCTTGCGTATAGGGCTGGAAGGAGATGACTGGTTCACTGGGCAGGAGCTTGGATGCCGCGGCCTTCCTCTGTCAGGGAGAGGAGAAGGTTTTGCAAAGAGCGTGGCAGGGAGGAGGTTCCAGCTAAGTGAACAGCCAGCCTTTTCATCTTTGCTCTGTATTCAAATTCAAGAAGGTTGAGGAGGATTGAAGAAGCCAACTAAAAGATGAGATGCGTTATCAGTGAGACAGAGTCAAGGTAACAGATAATTTTCAGAAATATAAGGCAAACCAGGGAGATCAAGGAAATGGCACTATCCTCTTATAAGAGGAGGTCATTGAGAACTGAGCAGTTCTTTCCAGAACTGACCAGTCAGGCATCAGGCACTGTACTGTCCTAGACTCTGGGCCTAAAGTTCTTTCTTGTCCAGCAAGAAAGCGGGACGCAGGATTAAAATGTGAGAGATGGCTGATGTCTGGGAGGAGACAAGAGCCCCGATTAAGGTCCTTGCTCCGTTTTTATTAGGATCAAAAGGCTTACAAACATGTTGATGGACATGCACAAAGAGACAATAAATCTGGGAACATTAACTCATGGGCATGAGGAAAAGGGGGTTTTGAAGATATATGGTGTTAGAGGTTTGGGTCAATATAAACCAAAATCCTGGCCCGGGGCAGATGGATGTTAACAGCAGACTTGAGGCATCATGTCTGTTTATCTTACCAGCCTAGGGAACAAGACAGACAGAGCTTGCTACCTCAGGGTCAACAAGGCACCTTTCTTTTGCTAATCAGCTCCATTCTGGGCAGCTTCATCCTGCAGTGGCCTATAGCCCTATTTACCTGTTTACTTAATTTGGTCCTTCCTTCCTGTGAGAGCAGCTTTCTGCTATAGTACTAAATTGGGTGAATCCACGCTGCATACCTAATCTTATTTACTTCATATAGCTTTGTATTGGGGCCTTTGCCCTGCCCTCTCTATCCTGGGACCTCTGCCCTCTCTATCCTGGGGCTTTGGCCCTGCCCTGTCTATCCTGGGGCCTGGGCCCCATCCCCTCTATCCTGGAGCCTGGGCCCCATCCCCTCTACCCTGGGGCTTTGGCCCTGCCTTCCCTATCCTGGGGCCTGGGCCCTGCCCCCTCTATTCTGGGGCTTTGGTCCCACCCTCTCTCTCCTGGGGCTTTGGCCCTGCCCCCTCTATCCTGGGGCCTCTGCCCTCCGCCCTCCCCCAACCCCGCCCCCCCCTCCCCCATCCTGGGACTCCTGTACCTATTTACCTAATCCTGTTTACCCAAACTTGGGTGTGAGCATTCTATGGCTTTGTAATTCTTTATGCCTTGTGAACCCATCAGTGCAGGCTCAGGGAATTCCTAAGCTTATTCCCCACACTCTGCTTAATGCCACTGATGAAGGGGCAGTTGGGCTCTGCTGGTGGTACTTTTGTTGTCATCGTCTCTGGCTGGGTTTGAGCTCTGCAGAGAAGTCACACATCGGCCCTGCCGACCCCTGGAGGAGAGGCTGGCCCACTCTGGGAGTGTGTTGTTTGCTGGGACGTGTGCAGAGCCCCTGTGGGTGTGGTGTCAGGGGTCCTCGGGAGCTGAACGGGATTGGGCAATGTGATGCCCGAGATGTGCTTAAAACTTCTGCACACATTTTTGTTTCTCTTATCAGTTAACAGGTGTCTTATCTGTTGGTGCAATAAATGTAATGTGTCATTCGCTGTAACGTACAGTGACTTTATATGACAGTGTGCCCAAAGGACCTTTTTACGAGTAGTTTTTCCTATAAAGTATCAGCATAAAGTAACTTCCCAACCCCCAGGCAGTGAGGTGTCCTTAATAATCCTGTCAGTCCTGTGCACTTTGAGAAAGTCAGACCAGATATTATCCACTTTGAGGAGCAGCTAGAATCTGCGTGGCGTGAAGTGTTGGTTTTCTGGCACTGTTTACCGCACGGCACTTTATTGGGTTCTAGAAGGCGCCCGGCCACGTCACTGAATGCCTCCCGAACTCCATCTTCTCTTGGCTGGCCCTGTCGTCCTCCTCCAGGCTGTCCGTGCCGTCCTCCTCCTGGCTGGCCCTGCCGTCCTCCTCCCGGCTGGCCCTGCTGTCCTCCTCACACTCAGCACATCCAAGCCATGCTTCCCACCCTCCCCATGGACTCCCTCCCCCACCTCCGTGCATCTTCTGGTTGAGGTGCCAGCATCCTCCCAGTTTTCACCCGTGAAAACCTGGGGATCATTTCTTTCCCACCGTCGTCCTGCCCCTCTGCACCCAAGCCCAGAGGGTCCCCTTTATTGGCGCGCTTGCTCCCCCTGGGATCAGAGCTGGAGCGCTTCTGGGGAATGTTTGGTGTGGGGGCGCCCTCCAGCGAGGGTGGGGCTACCTAGGTGTGGACGTGGGTGTGCTGTGGTCACATTTCTCTCTCAGAGGGTCTCTGTGCTTGAGTGAACAGGAGGGCGTGCAGCAGGGAGGGTTTGCTGGGCTGAGGATGAGGGGTGGGGGAGGTGCCTTATCTGCGCCTGCGTGACACGGAGGTGCTGTGTTGCGGGGCGGTAGGATGTGGACAAGAGGAGGAATGGCTTCGGGGTGGGAAGGACGAGTTTTCTAAACACGTATTTCATTTTTGCTCCCCTCTTATCCTGGAAACCCGGAATATGTTTCTACTTGGTTTTCCTGGTAGCCTCTTACTGTCCTGAAGATCCAGACCAGGGTGGCTTTAGGGTGATCTAAGCTCGCCTCCTAAACCCCCAGAGCCTGACAGGGCACGCTTCCCACTGTAGGACTTGGAGAATCCCCCTGGTGAGCCCCAGGCCTGGAGGGCAAAGCCACGAGGCAGGAGCGCTCTGGTTCTGTGGGGCCAGTGTTGGCACAGCCTGTCTGCCCTCCGTGAAGAGAACAGGGACGCTCTGAGAACGCCCTGTTACACATCTCGTCAGAATTGTACGGTTTCTCAGAAAGGACGAGTTCATTAACTTTTGTCTCTTTATGGTCATACTGGTTAGCGAGGTATTTCTTAAAGAATTTGCAGTTAGGTTGTGTTAGTTTTATAAATGCATTTTAAAATTGGGGCGCCTGGGTGGCTCAGTTGGTTCAGCGTCCGACTTTGGCTCAGGTCACGATCTCGCGGTTCGTGGGTTCGAGCCCCGCGTCGGGCTCTGTGCTGACGGCTCGGAGCCTGGAGCCTGCTTCGAATTCTGTGTCTCCTTCTCTCTCTGCCTGTCCACCATTCACGCTCTGTCTACCCTTTCTCTCAAAGATAAGTAAACATTAAAAAAAATTTAAATACATTTTAAAGTTAGCAATATTAAATGAATCTTAGAAAACATATTTTCCCAATCTATTTGCAAAATTCAAATTTGCTATTGAATTTTTTTGTTATGTGTTTGGTTTTTGCCTCCAGGAAATTGAAAAGGAAGACACTGATATAGAAAATGCTGGAACTGATGAATATACACCTTGTTTGGAAGATGATTTTGAAGTTTGTATAACAGTTAAAATTTTTCTCAGCTTAAAAATAATTTGTTCTTAAAATTTGCTTAAGTACAGTAACTTAATGGCTTCATTTCTCTCTGCTACTTTTACTCCACCTGTGTTTCATTTAGGCTTGTTACCAATAACAGGTGCTGGCGCCTGTCAGTGCCACCAGGTGATGGGGTTGAGTGATTTTACAGTTTAACCCATTAAGTGCACTGCATCCAAACGTGTGTGTATGTTTGAATGAATGTACGTGTGAGTGGAGTGTGTATATTTACTTACACACACTCTCACATTCTCAGCACAAAAACGTTTGCGTGCTTCTGTTGTTAAGAGCTGTCCGTGTATGTAAATCTATACAGTGCAGTTCATTTTTAGAGAATAAGGCAGCAGTCTATACAGATTTATAGCTCAGTGGTGTTGAAATCAGTTAACTATAAAAACCTTTCTTAGCCATAATGAGAATTTTGTCTGTTGTAAGTTCTAATTTGTATGTTTTGTCTCATATGAGTGTTGTTTAAGGTCGGTTTGTCTTAAAGGTTCCAGGGTGTAATTATCGTTTGTAGGACTACGAAGATGACTTTGAGGTTTGTGATGGAGATGACGATGTCTCAAATGAACTGGAACCAAAAGAGAAAATCGAAGAGCTTCCTCTGGCTAGAAAAAAGGAGATACAAGAAATTCAGGAAGCCATTAATGCAGAAAACGAAAGGATTGGCGAGTTGTCCTGCAAACTGTCTCAGAAGCGGGGTCTGACGGAGGGTGAGAGGGAGGCAGAGACAGGTGCGCATCCGTCTCGGGGGACAGTGGGTGCCCGAGCCTGCACGGTCCTTGTGGGTGGAATTCTTCTAATCTTAGGTGGCAGATGTGTGAGTGTCCCGTGCTCCCACGACGATGCCAGGAGACTGTAACGTGTGATAGGGACTGTCTTCGGGGAAAACAGCTGCACGCGGCCTCTGGTCAGCGCCTGCAGCCTGCGGGTGGCTGTGAGCACGTGTCAGCCTGTGGGTGCTCAGGCAGGAACCGCCAGTCCTGGACGCGGCCCTGCTCCCCTTTCCCAGTCTGCAGCACGTGCGCTTGTTTTCTGAGGCCACTGTCTTTGACCTTCCACAAGGAAAGCGTGTCAGCAGGAGGCTCAGGGTGGGGGCAGCAGAGCCCAGGGCCAGCTCGGGGAGACGGGTTCAGGAATGTGGCCCTCCGAACCGGTCTCGAACACTCCTAAGTGAGCCCTTCTTTCTCGGATTTCCTGTGCAAAATTAGAAACGTGTCCAGCTCAGAAATTCTTGGTATCTCCACGTGATAAATATTTTAAAAGTAGGAGTAAATATTTTAAAGTCACTGAAAGAGAATAAGTAATAATTAGTAATTAATACAACTAATTACGATTAGCAGTTAATATGATATGGTCATCCGAGCGAAAGTTAGGCAGAGTGCTTCTTATGCTCCTGTTTTGCCTCCTGCTGCAGAGGTAGCAAAACTGAGATGGCAAGTGCAGACGTATGGAATGTTCTCCCAAGTTTGTAGAGAAACCAGTGTCTCTGAAGCCGGGGAAGCTGTCCTGTGTGAAAGAAGTACTTCAGTTGTACAAAGTAGCTTTTTTTGTTGTTTTTTTGTTTAGATGCAAACAGTTCCCCTTCCAGAGCCCCTGTTTGTGGAATTTTCATGGATTTTGCGACAGCCTCACGCCGACAGAAGAGTCGGACTCAGGCCCTTAACCAAAAGTAGGTGTGTTGGGAATTTGTGAAGGGTATTAATGGAATTTTAATGTACTTCAACATAAAAAAAATAGAGGCCTTCTTTCTTACTTTCACTACGGACTTTAGGTACATTTTTAGATTGTGCTCCACTTGTCCACGTTCAGACACCATGTTGCTAGTTAAGTGTGTGCACCTCTGTTTACTCCTGCGGCACCTGGGGGCTTCGCCCTAGGTTGGCTGCCACAGGGTCACAGTCGCGCATTCTCTGAACGCAACGGACCCTTCTGCCTGTCCGGGGGCCGCTCCCACTCGAGGTCCATCGCCTAGTGCATCAGTTCCTCGGATGAGGAAGCTGAGGAACCTGGGACGGTTAAGGGTACGAAGGGTCGGTGACACGTACTGAGTGTGACTTTCCTTCCGTGCCTCGGGCACTGTGCTCCCTGTGTGGTAACTGCTTGGCTCCGCCCCTGCAGCCCCATTTTGTAGATGAGGAAAGTGAGGCTCCAGGTTGACATCTGGTGAGTGGTGGAGCTGAGTTTTGAACTCAGGACTACAAGACGTCACAGTCCAAGCTTATAATTACCGTACATTTACGAATCTGTACAATCAGAAATTTATGAAAGTCAGAGGAGGTAGGCTCAAGTCAAGGGTCTATCATATTAAATATGATTTAGGAGTAAATGTAAAAATTAAATATGTTTTTAAAAACTTTAAAATCCATCATACTATCTAGCTCAGTACATAGCCTTAGTAGGTGCTCAGTAAACTTTCCTGAATGAACAAATAAATCATGAATAATAAGTTTTCACATCATTTTTGTTGTCCTCATATTTTGGACCTCCTACTGAGGTAAGTAAAACCAGTTTTTGCCACTATGGCTAGGGTTTGTTTTTCCTTTAATCTCATTCAAGCCTTGGATGCTCCATCTGGTTTAAAATAATTTTTATAAATTCAGAAACAATCAGAACTACACAGTGTTCTTATGTTTAGGCATATATATAAAGGTTGTATATACGTGTGTGTGTATACATATATATGTGTGTGTGTGTGTGTGTGTGTGTATAAAGTTATATATATGTTTAGGCATCTATATAAAGGTAAGATAAAACTATATTTTACAAAGCAAGAAGATGAATATTTCCAAGTTCTGTATAGTGATTGTCATGGGCTCTAGGGGTTAGGGGTGTGTCAGGGAGGGGCCCTAAGTGGGTACAGGTTGCCCCTAGTTTTCGTGGTCCTGACATCAGGCAGCATGTCCTGGGACGTTACCATATCGTGATACCTCATGTGTACACATATTACATGCATTTTTTAAGCTCAGAAATTACACTAAATACGGGGGACTGGAGGCAATAATTTGGGAAGATGGTGACAGTGGTCAGAGAATAAGGTTATGCAAAGGTGGCAGTTACTGGCAAAGCCCAAAATGGGTGCACAAGGAAGAAAGGAGCAGATCTCCTTTGCAAGGTGCCCAGGTGGTGGGGGACCATTCACCACCTGCAGACTGAGCAGCACCTGTGTGGAAATCACAGAAAGGAAAGAAAGGAAACTGTGCCCAGGCTGAGCTCATATTCCAGTGGGGGTGAGCAGTGAAGACAGGGACTGGTCCTGGGCATGCCATGTTAGGGCGGCTGGAAGGAGGAGGCCAGAGGGAACCATGTGCCAGCAGTGTCTTGGCAGCCTCACCGGGCAGGAGGGGTGACGGGCCGGGTCATGTGATGCGTGGCCACGTCCTGTCTGGTCATCTTGGAAGAGTGGCCTAAAGGACAGCACACACCTGGCCAGCTGTGCTCTGGCCACAGCCCAGGTGACATCACAGAATGTAACCCTTCTGGTTGAGACATCAATTCATGGAGGAAAGTAATTGCTGTCCATGAAATTTCTAGAGTGCACATATTGTAACTTTATTTTGTGTTCACTTAGGTGCACTGAATTAGAAGAATCAAAATTTGGTTCGTTCTGTTTTCACATTGTTGATGCACATGACCGTGTTATTTTTAACTATTAAATACCTCAGACTCACACCCACACAAAAACTCGGTCTTTGACAGCTACCTGCATCTGATCATAAGGTTCCTTGCACTCTCTCTGTCCTTCCCTTTGCATACTATTCAATTTAACTTTTGTCTCGTTTCCAATTTTGAAGGGCACGCAGTACAAAACTGCTCCGGCTCATTGACTTGGATTTTTCACTCACTTTCTCTCTCTTGGACCTACCACCAGTAAATGAGTATGACATGTATATCAGAAACTTCGGGAGAAAAAACACCAAGCAGGTTAGTATAAGACGTATTCACGGGGTGACGGAATGCAGGTGGCGCACACTAAGGTGTACTTGAGCCGCCCCGTGTCTCGTCTCCGAACGCTAGAGCTTGGGGGTGGTGTGTGGAGGGGGTGGACTTAAGGAAGAAGGGACCCCTTTGTCACGTGGCTCTCACTAACCCGGAGCCCGTGCAGGCGTTCCCAGGGCTCCAGAGCAGGGGTGTATGGCCCACGTGGGACGGGGCATGCTCCCAGACTCGCAGATGGTTTATTTAAAGTCCAGCAGAAGTTACGTCTGTCGCGTTCCACCCGCCCTCCCACGCAGGTCTCCGGGTGCCAGGCCCCCGTCCCTGTCGGCCTTCCTCTCATTTACCTGTGGGTGCTTCATCGCCTGCGTCTGTTCTCTAGGGGAGTCCTTCCCTCAGGACTTACGCTGTACCTCTCTCTTATTCCGGAGCTCTCTACGCACACCGCACAACTAGTTAGGAGCCGTCCGACCTCCCAGCAAGGTTGTAAAGTATCTGAAGTCAGGAATCACCTCTTAGGTTTTCGTTCTGTCCCCAATGGCGTCAGCAGTGAGCAGGTGCCTGTGTTAGGTTATCATTCTGTCCCTGATGGCGTCAGCAGTGAGCGGTGCCTGTGTTAGGTTCCTTCTGTCCCCGATGGCGTCAGCAGTGAGCGGGTGCCTGTGTTAGGTTATCATTCTGTCTCCGATGGCGTCAGCAGCGAGCGGGTGCTTGTGTTAGGTTATCATTCTGTCCCCGATGGCGTCAGCAGTGAGTGGTGCTTGTGTTAGGTTATCCTTCTGTCCCCGATGGCATCAGCAGTGAGCGGTGCCTGTATTAGGTTGTCATTCTGTCCCCGATGGCGTCAGCAGTGAGCGGGTGCCTATGTTAGGTTATCATTCTGTCCCCGATGGCATCAGCAGCGAGCGGGTGCCTGTGTTAGGTTATCCTTCTGTCCCCGATGGCGTCAGCAGTGAGCGGGTGCCTGTGTTAGGTTATCATTCTGTCTCCGATGGCATCAGCAGCGAGTGGGTGCTTGTGTTAGGTTATCCTTCTGTCCCCGATGGCGTCAGCAGTGAGCGGTGCCTGTGTTAGGTTATCATTCTGTCCCCGATGGCGTCAGCAGTGAGCGGTGCTTGTGTTAGGTTATCATTCTGTCCCCGATGGCGTCAGCAGTGAGTGGGTGCCTGTGTTAGGTTATCCTTCTGTCCCCGATGGCGTCAGCAGAGAGCGGGTCTGGGGTGTGGTCGCCATCTGTCACAGGGTGGCGGGAAGAAGGTCACAGGGTGAAGCTCAGAAAGCTGGCTTCACAGATGGCTCCCTTAGGCCTGCAGTGGAGTATTTAGCTTCTTTGCTCATCGTCCTCGTCTCACAGCTATTAGGAACAAAATGATCTTTGCCGAAGCACGTACCTGTTGGAAACCCGAGTTGTGTTTGGTTTTGCAGAGCCAGTAGGTTCTTTCAACGTTTATTTATTTTTGGGACAGAGAGAGACAGAGCATGAACGGGGGAGGGGCAGAGAGAGAGGGAGACACAGAATCGGAAACAGGCTCCAGGCTCCGAGCCATCAGCCCAGAGCCTGACGCGGGGCTCGAACTCACGGACCGCGAGATTGTGACCTGGCTGAAGTCAGACGCTTAACCGACTGCGCCACCCAGGCGCCCCGAGCCAGTAGGTTCTAAGAGGATAGGATGTTGGTGTGCTAGGTGGGAGTACTTTCTTTTTGTTTTTTTTAAGTTTACTTATTTCTTTTGAGAGAGAACATGCATGCGTGAGCAGGGGAGGGGCAGAGAGAGAGAGGGAGAGAGAGAGAGACACACACACACAGAATCCCAAGCAGGCTCCATGCTGTCGGCACAGAGCCCAGTTCGGGGCTCGATTGCAGGAACCCTGAGATCACGACCCGACCTGAAATCAGGAGTCCAAGACTCAACCACCGGAGGAGCCCCCCAGGCACCCCCAGGGGGCACTGTTTCCAAACCAAAGCTAAATTGTTTTGCCCTGGATAAGGGAGTGTCTGTGTTGTGTGGACAGAGGTCCAAGCCCTTGGATTCCCGCTGGAAGACTTAAGTGGGGGGGACCTGCGCTCGAATAAAGACTAAGGACGGAAGGAAAGACTAAGGAGGGAAGCAGCCATCATGGAGCAGTTTCTTGAAAGGAAAGTTCACTCTCCAGGTGGGAGAGCCGTCAGCTTCCCCGCTGGAACCAGGCTGGAACCGCCTGGGTTGCTTTGGGTTTGGATGTTACTGGTCTCTCCGGGCTGGGAGGAGCTGGGAGGGGCTGGGGCTGCTGCGGGGTGGTCTCTGAGGGTCGTGCTTCCGACCCTTGGGGGAACTCCTTCCCCAGACTGGGAGGGGGGTCAATCTGACCCTCCGAGGTTTGTGGGAAACTCGGGGCAGCCTTTCTCTGTCTGGGGAAGGCCTGTGCCCTCAGTGTGCATGCATCATGTCGAGTCTAGGGGTTCCCGGGGTGGGGTGGAGGAGGGCCGCGGGCTCTGGGTCTGTCAGCCCCAAGGCCTTGGAAGCCACGAGGTCAGGACCTTGAGCTCCAGGGTTTTAATGTTCAGCTTTCGCGTCATCACTGTTCTTGCCTCCAGCTGGTGCCTCACCCTTCCCTCCTAGGACTGGGGACTCTGCGTCCCTTCCAGCACCCTTCGCTGGTCTACCTGACAGTCTGGGGTGACTTTCTAAAACATTTGAGACCCAAGTGGTCTTTGCAAGATGGTTATTTATGTCTCGATACTTTTGGGAAAAGCAAGAAGACTCATTATTACCTTTACCATTTTTAATTTTTTTCCAGTAATGAGAAATTGCTCTGAAGTTGAGGTGTGGTGCTAATTCCAGCATATCTTTTTGTTAAGGCATATGTTCAGTACAATGAAGATAATGTTGACAGAGACACCCAGACCGAAGAGGTAGAGACCAAGGGAGTGTGGAGCCAGCACCCGGGAGAGGGCACGGCTGTGTCAGGGGGTGAGCAAGCCTTTGCTCTTGACCGTTGAAAGGGCCGTGTCTTTACATTAATTTTGGTATTGTGTTCATGACCTTTCTTGTCCTTTCTTCTTAGACCTTTCTCTTGGGTTGGGTGGCTAGTGTGTGACAAGGGCAACACCCAGTATTCTCTACAAGCTTTAGGGAACTACTACCCTTAGTGCGGAGCTGGAGGCCCAGTCTGGGTCTTGACCAGGGTTTATAACATTTTTATTCCTCAACATCGGGAGAGTCCACATTCCAACCAAGCACTTGTAAATGGGCTTTGGAGCCCTTTCTGCTCTTAAGTTGGGGCCAGCCTGTCCTCATGTATTAGGTGCAGTCTGCAGGCGTGTCGCCTGGTACAGAGGGAAGGCCCAAAGGATACACGCTGTCCTGCTTGGTAACAGTTGCTTTCCCAGGACGTGACCCTGCGGCTGGGGCCCCAGCTGCCGCTTTCCTCGGTTGAGCTGTGTGGAGAGAAAAGAGGGGACCCGAACATGAGACTTATGTAATGATTGCATTGATGCCTTTATTCTCCTTGCTGCATTTCAGTAGGGTCCTGCGTACAGACTATCTGTAAAACAAGATGCAGTTGTGTTTGAAAAAACCGCGGTAGATCTAGAGAATGCAATGTAAAATTCTTCGACTTTTCCCTCCAGGGCTCTTAGCATTCGTTTCTAACAACTCTTTGAACCCTAAGGCGTGTGAAACATGATGGTGGTTGGTTCAGCACAGCCTGGTCTCTTTAGGGAGTGGCAGTGGAGATCCCTGTGACACCGGTGCCCCGAAGGTCAACACGCCCGGGCTGTCCCGCTTCCTTCGGGCCGCTTGCCAGGTACGTGCTGCCCTGTGTCCATCGCACCCTGGCCCCCGCGGGCACTTGTCCCACACGTGCGTGTCAGCTGCTTACATTTTAAAATAAATACAGACTAAAAAACAGATAGTAATATTAATTTGTCAAACGAATAATATTAAATGGTCAAGGCATACACTAGGGTGTTTGAAATTAGTAAATTCATAACTTTTCAACTGATTGTGGAAATTTACAAAATATACACAAAGATGAAGGGGAAGGTCTGTTGAAGCCCATGTCTGTTGTTAGTTGTCACCTCATGGCTGGTGGTCTCATGGGAGCCCCTCCTCACCCCACCCACCCCCAGCTGTTTCTACGCAGGCCACAGTCCCCACACAGGGGACTCGCTTCAGGGCGAGGCTCTTACAATAGCAGTACTCCTCAGAAGCATCAGGAAAGAAGTCACTCCTATTTCCTCAGTTGTCTCCTGTGTCTGTGTCAGCAGCGAGTGTGGGTTTGGAGTAAGCCTGTGTCCATCTTCCATCTGGACGTATGGTAATCACTCCCTCCCCGTGCTGTGTTACGGAGAGAGTCTTTGCTGTGGGAGATCGATCGTACTCCCCACGTAATTTTAAATTTTAGGGTGAGCTCACGGGGAGCTACGAGGAGAGCCGTTGTGAGCAGGGTGAAGCGGGGGGCTTGGGCTGGAGCAGGGGTGAGTGAGGACAGAGCGGGCCGGGTCAGGGGTCAGGGCCAGCCTGGCCCTCCCAGCTCTCCTTCCTTTTCTGCGGCTCGTCCTCCCCGCCGGTCCCGTCAGGTCTCCTGACTCTGCCATGTCTCCCTTTCCCGTCATCACCCTACACGTGACCTATTAGAGCTGTTCCGCTGACTTCCTGCTCAGTGTGTCCTCACGGGGCCCCGGGAGGTCAGCGTGCTGTGTGTACGACATTCTTTACACCCCTTTCTTAGACAAGACAACGGAGGTGGCCAGCCTTTTTCCTCCTGTTATTTTTAGCACGGTGTGTACTGTAAAAAATGACACCTAACGTTAAATAATAACAGCTGTCCTGTGGAGCTAACATTAATGGAACTTTACCTGTTAGTTTCTGTTATGGCTTGGAAAGGGCAACCTAGTTTGAAGTTTCATTCTGTTCGTCTCCGTGACGTCTTGGAGTTAAACAGTTTTCAGAGACAGAGGCACAACGTTATGATTTGTGTGTTTTGTTTTTTTCTCGTGAGAGTGAATACGTTCGAAATGTTCACGAGAGACCGCTCACTGTCTCTGAAAGGTGATTGCGGTTTTGCTGGAAGAGGACCGTATGGCAGCGGAGCCCAGCTGGAGCCCCGCAGCACAGGACAGCGCCCTGCGTATCAGTGACAGCGCCTCCCAGCTGAATACCAGCCTGCCGTTCCTCCAGAGTAAGGGGCTGACCTCCGCGCGCTTTTAAGTCTAGTCCCCAGCGTTTCTGCTGGAATAACCGTCTTTACTGTGGCATCCTGTGTTAGTGTCATGGGAATTAGATTCGGCATCTGCGAACTCTGACGGGCAAGGTCGGTTTTCGTGTAAATGTGCGTTAGAGTCACATGGACACCCGCCGGAGGCGATGACGGTGGGGGGGGAGGGTGGCGTGGTGCCATAGTTAAAAGTGGAAGCTGAGGTTCTGTGTGTTTGTTTGAAATCGTATTTTTCAGTCCTGTTCCTGGGCTTCTCTTGGTTTCTTGGAGTGGGGGGGCCCTGGGGAGCTGCACGAGGGGGTGTTCAGTGAGCGCCCTCCGCTGGCCCCGGGGCACCACGTGCTGAGCAGAGGACGCCCGGCCGCCACGCACGTGGGACCGTCTCAGTGACTTCAAACAAGCTGCATTTGCACGGCCACATTTCTGTTTCTTGAGCTGGTCACCTCTTTGCTTTGGTTCCGGCTGGTGAGGCGGTGGCCCCACCCTGGTCCTGGTCTTTGTGAGGAGGGAGAGGAAGGCTATTCGTTTAATTTATTAAATAGTTTGTTTATTGTGCCGTCCTTACACAGAAATAGTGTGCCTCGTAGAAAGAATAAAAATGTATTCAGAGTTCTAGCTGACAGCAAATAAAACTCCATGTTTTACTCCGGGAGCCCAGCGGCCGGCCTCACCGGGTGCTCCCAGGCCTGGGGGAAGCCTGGTGCCACTTGATCTGGATGTTTCTTCTGTCCTGCCTGCAGTTTAGACATTTCGATTCACGTTTGTTCCTTTGCATTTAACATTAACAAAAGTGGAATTATTAGTTAAAAAAACAACAACTCATGTTCTTTGGAGTTTTTTGTTTTTAAAAGGTAAGAGTTACTTTACTGGAAAAATAGTGAATCACTGTATCTACAGTGTTCAAAACATGCATGTTCACACTCCCACACCCCTCCTCACCCCAGTAAATGGGAGTGAAAGATGTACTTTTTCTGGGAGCTGGTGAGTGACAGCAGCTTTACAAAAACAGAGGGAGCTTGATAACCCGGTTATATACATGCATCTAGAACCCTTTGTAAGAGACCATGAGGCACGTTTGTTCTCACAGGACAGGGCCCCTTGGTGTGGTGGGTGCGAGTTGGCCGTGTGAACAGTGTGGCGGTTTTTCTTGTTTGTTTTGTGTTCCAGTGGCATGGATTTTGAGACACCAGAAGGAAAACGGGATTAGATGACAGATGTCTGACAGAGTGAGGAGTTGTCTCACCTGTGAACCTGGGACTTGGTCACATTATGCCCCAGTCTGTTCCCCTCACGGATCCGGGCAGTGCTGTCCTCACTGTTCACACACCCGCCACAGAATGATGTGGCCAACACTGGCCTGCACTTTCTTTCATCTAAGTGGACGGAAGTCCTGCCCTCCGGTGGGGGGTGGGGGGGGCACACAGACAAAAGCTGGAGAAAAAGTGAATGTGACTCGTCACAGGGGGAAGGAAAACACAGCTGGGAGGAAAGGGAGTGTCCGGGCCGGCTGGTGTGAAATGGCCTTGCTGTGTGAAAGCCACACGCACCGAGAGTCTCAGCAAGGCATGAAAGGGATCCACTGAGGTGACCTGACTCTAGGTCACCTCCGGGTGACGTGGTTCTCTGGGAGTAGCTAGTAGATAAAGTGTGGCCTGCACCGAACGTTAGTAAAACCTTGAGGCCCGCTTGAGCCTTTTTCAGGAAGAGCTGTGGCCACTTGATAAAACCCAGATTTCAGGCACGGGCAGCTTTGAGAGGATTATGTTTGTTTCTTAATTAAGGGGGAATTTATTTGAATATTTCTAAAATAAGTGTTTATTTTGAGAGAGGGAGAGAGAGTCTAGTGCAGGAGCATCAGAGGGGCAGAGAGAGAGAGAGAGAGAGAGAGAGAGAGAGAATCCCAAGCAGGCTTCACGCTCAGTGTGGAGCCGGATGTAGGGCTCGATCTTATGACTGTGGGTTCGTGACCTGAGCCGATATCAAGAGCTGGGCGCGTAAGCGACTGAGCCACCCTGGTGCCCCTATTTGAATATTTTTAAGTGTGTTAATTGAACATGGATTCTGGAAGACACTAAAATGCAGAAGTACTTTTCTCATTTTTCCCCCCAGATCGGAAAGTGTCCTGCTTATGTGCCTCTCAGGTGCAGAGGCAGACAGTGGTATCTGTCCACGGGCCGCCTGGAGCAGCATTTGATCCCGCGCTGGATGGCAGATACGTGCTGTGTGTGTGGGATATCTGGCAGCCTTCAGGGCCGCAGAAGGTCCTGATATGTGAGTCAGAGGTACAGCTCCGGAAGTTGTAGGGTTTGTATGAGAGGAGGGGCAGGGTGTCAGGGGGACAGCAACACAGGACTACAGGGACGTTCAAGGTCATTTCTTTCTCTCCCTGGCCATCCTTAGCTATGTGCAGGTGTGACGGGACACATGCACGTGTCTGTTTTGACTCTAGAAACTCTTAAAGGATCAACTCAGACTGAAGAGATCCAGGGTTATCACGGCCTTCCATTGGGGATGAAGATGCCGGCCACCCTCAGCATGGCTCTGGGACCCCAAAAGTGTCCTGTTTTGGCTTGCACTGTTTGAGTCACGGATATTTTAGGGGTTTCTTAACAGGCTTAAGGTTTTTGGAGTCTTCGGTCTCCTGCCTTTCCCAGCCCCTCATCACCAGGGCTGTGGCCGAGCTCCACGCGGGTACAGCGTGGAGAGAGCCACCCTTTTGCATTTTCCTGTTCATCTGCTCCTTGACCTCAGAGTCCTCAATTCTCACCAAGGCTGGCGGAAAGACTAACTTATAGGTGTCAGGTTTTGGGGCTCGAAAGGCAGGTTTTATAATATAGGTTATAAATAAAATGACGAAAGAGAGCTTTGCCATCCTGGGCCCGGCTACTTGGGTTGAATGGAGAGGGGTTGTGGTGCCCAGTTGTGTGTGAGGCCCCTGTGTCTGTGCCCCCCAGTCCTGCGAGGGTGGCTCATCCTCCCCGCTTTCCACCTGGCGCTGATGCGGACTCACGCCTGCTACTGTGAACCCCACCTTCCAGGTGGAAGGTTCACGGGGGCAGCATGGGAAATGGAGAGGGCTGGTGCTTCTGTGACCGTGGCCTCATGTTTTCAGACTCCGGCTTTCTGTGTGTGTCATTCCAGGTCACGTGTTGCTGCTTTAGCCCTTTTAAAGCCTTTTTACTGTTTGCCGGAACAGTGCACGGCTCAGTCCTCGTGTGGGACCTACGAGAAGACTCCAGAATACATCACTATGTGAAGCTGGGTGACTGCTTCTGGACGTTCAGGACAGCAACGTTTTCTACTGGTCAGTGACACCTACCTGCCTGTCCGGTGTCTTCTAGAAAAGCCATGACAGATTTTAGGAACATCTGTAGTTTGTTTGAATTTATTCATTCAGATTGCCCCAGGGGGTGGGGTCTGACCTACAAGCAAAAGAGGCATTTGGCAAATAGTAAAAACAAAAATCCACCTAGGCCCTGCTTAGCTGGTGGCCAACAAGATTGGAATGCTCTTTCATGTTAATTTCTGGATTCCAGTTCTCAATGAAATAACTTTTAGTTTTAAATTAGCTTAAGGCATGTTGGTATGTGTGTGTTCCATGGCTTAGTTAACCCCCCTAATGCTTGAAGTACATGGCAAGTTATTCACTTCTTGGGGGATGAAAGAATCCTGAACATCTGCATCTGCCAAGATCTTTAAATTAACAGGAATCCTTCCTGCCATGCCATTGCAGCCACAGCCAACCACCCCAGCCAACCACCACAACCACCCACCACAACAAACGACCACAGCCACTCACCACAACAGCCAACCATCACAACCACCGCCATAACCACCCACCACAACCGGTCACCACAACCACCACCACAACAAACTTCCACAACCACCCACAACAACCAACTACCACAACCAACCACCACAGCCAGCCATCACAACCACCACCACAACCACCACAGCCAACCACCACAGCCAACCACCACAACCGCCCACCACAACAACCAACTACCACCACCAACCATCACAACAAACCACCTCAACCATCATAACAGACAACCACCCACCACAACAACTATCACAACCAACCACCACAGCCAACCACCACAACCAACTACCATAACTACTCACCC